CTAGTGAATAATCCACCTCAAAGTTTTCCACAAAGGTTTAGAAGCAATTGAAACGGTAATAACTCACTGCTGTTTTACTTTTTTCACCTGTGATGGCAATATTAGGAAGGTCCTTCTGAGAAAGAGGAAGAAAAGTCTAGCAAAGAAACTCGGCAGTAGGTCTAAGGAAGCAGGAGCTGGAGACTTTTTTTACAGAAGGCAAAGCTCAATTGAGCAAGCTATCGAGTACTTCGAATAAAACCTGGAGGAAAGATTCATATGCAAAATGTATTTGACACCTTAAGCCAAGAGTTGCAATTGTTTCTAGAATTCAGAAAAAAAGTGGATGCTTAAGACTGGCTTTTACAAATGTAGATATTTTGACCCTAATAGACACCCCTCATATTTGGCTCAATATGCAAACTTGATTTCTAGATAATAGAGTTGCTTTATAATAATTTGGAGCAATACACAACCAATTCAGTTGCATTTGCAAACCCCGCTTGTCTTCCTCTTTAGACAGAAAACAAAGACTTGGAGTCATGAAGGACACTGGCCGGCACAAGCACATCCTACAGCATAGAGAGGGTTTTGTGTTTCAGGAGTGAAGGAGAGAGCAGAGCAATGTGCTCCTGTTCCTTATGAATCGCATCTGTAGTTAAACGGGTCTGGTCCTTGTTCTACTAAAATCAATGGCCCAAATTTTACAAGTTTGCCAAGAGTTTTATCTTCTTGGTCAGTTGCTAGAACTGGGAGTTATAAAGCCAGGAAAGACACTGTGTGTTAATGTGCTTGTTGTGAGCACATGTAAAGGCATTTTGAACTAATGGGGGCAGGGATTAGGGGGAACACAATATTTACCGCTTTGTAAAATTTGGAATACAGTTTTGGTCGCCTCACTTCAAAAAGGAGTTGGACACGGTTCAGAAAAGGGCCACCAAAATTATCAAGGGGATGAAACGACTCATCGGTGAAGAAAGATTGCTAGGTATGGGACTTTTTAGCTTAGAGAAAAGGCAAGTAAGAGGTGACATGATAGAAGTTTATAAAATAATGCATGGCATGATGAAAGTGAAGAGAAAAGCTATTCTCCCTTTCTAATAACACTAGAACTCATGGAGGGCCAATAAAGCTGAGTGTTGGAAGATTCATGATGGATAAAAGAAAGTAGTTCTTCATGCAATGCATAGTTAAACTGTGGAACTCACTGCCTCCTGTAACAGAATGGGAGACTAGATAGAACACTAACCCCAATAAAAAGCAAAGCCCTTATAAGACAGTTTCATGCTTTATTATAGAACAGCTGAGAGAGAGAGAGAGAGAGAGAGAGATCTTGTACTTTTATGAAAAATGAGCAATAGATTTGAGGCAAGAGGTCCAGCTCAAGCAATGGGGCTGTGTATGGAGGTATATGTGGACTAAATGGGTGTCCATTGATCTTTTTTAAAAAAGCTTTTTAAAATAGTCTCAGTTGTATCTAACTCCTTTGCAAGTGAAGTCAGATTTATAACTTGGTGGACAACTCTTGTTGGCAAGGTGAGGGTGTCCATGCAGATTTCCTGCATATTTGGGGTAATGCAGTCTATTTGGACTAATGTTTTAAATTTGATTCATGAGATGACTGGCTAATACCACAAAATCCTAAAATAGTATAATTATTATATTGGTTAATGAAAGTGGCCTTGAAATTGCTGGCATCAAAATGTGCATAGCAGCTAGCTGGAAGAAAATAGTTGATCCATAGATTTCCACATTGTATAGTAGAATATGGAATACTGTTGTTTTATCAAAACTGACCTACAGCAGAAAATCAACTTGATAATGGAGAGCCAATGAATAAATGTATTGAAATATTGACTTTGCAATGCTTGCAAGTGCAAGGAGGCTGTTTGACCAGACACTTTCTTTTCTCCCTTGTATTTCCCTACCCTTTTTGCATATGCTTGTAGTTGTTGGTTCTTTAGTTTGTGATTTTAAAAGTTTATATAACTAATTTTTTAAAAAAACCAACCCTTCAAACCATGGTGAATGGTCTTCGCTTTCTTTCACTGACTAAACCAGGGATCAGGCCCTGCAGATGTTTCTGGACTACAATTCCCTTCATCCTTGAACACTGGCCATATTGACCAAGCGTGAGGGGAGTCCAATGACATCTGGATGTCCACAGTTGGTAGAGCCCGATACTCGTAATCTCAGGGTTGTGGGTTCAAGTCCTGTGTTGGGCAAAAGTTTCCTGCATTCCAGGGGGTGCTCTAGATGACCCCCACAGTCCCTTCCAAGTCTGCAGTTCTATGATTCAGATCCTCTACTTCTAAACTGAACAACAATTAAGGTTAAACACAGTTCCTGGTTCAAACATAGGTAGCAAGTAACCACAGTTAGTTAAAAAGTGAAAGATTCTGATCTGACAGCTGTACCAGAAGAAGAAGGGACACGAGTGGCACTGTGGTCTAAACCACTGAGCTTCTTGGGCTTGCCAATCAGAAGGTCGGCGGTTCGAATCCCCACGGTGGGGTGAGCTCCCATTGCTCTGTCCCAGTTCCTGCCAACCTAGCAGTTCAAAAGCACACCGGTTCAAGTACATAAATAGGTATTGCTGTGGTGGGAAGGTAAATGACGTTTCCGTGCACTTTGGTTTCTGTCACTGTGTTCCATTGCGCCAGAAGCTGTTTTAATCATGCTGGCTACATGACCCAGAAAGCTGTCTGTGAACAAACACCAGCTCCCTTGACCTGAAAGCGAGATGAGTGCCGCAACCCCATAGTCTCCTTTGACTGGACTTAACCGTCCAGGGTTCCTTTACCTTTACCTTTTTTACCAGAAGAAGAGAAGGCAGGGGCGAGCCCATGAGCCCCACATTCATGCATGTAACGCTAAATTATTATTTAGCGTTACATGCAAAGCAGGCTGATCTTCCTATCATGGTCAGCTGCCTCTCAGCTAAATTAATGCAGTGGCTGTGGTGTCATCAGAAAGATGGCTAAGGAACGCAGGCAGTCTATATTCCATCCTCCCCTGATCAACCCGAAGGTATGCAAATGAAATCGCAAAGCTATAATGGTCCTTTTTCTAAGAGGGAAGCCAGACAAGGGTAATTGTATGACTGAGATGGAAGCCAGTTTCCACAACTAATGATGTGATGCACCTGTGCACAAGATTGCTCTCACTCTAAAATGCAGCCACCACCTCTTCTTGCCTTTCCTCTCTAATGGCCAATAATGTGACATGAAGCAAACTCAACAAGTGCACCTAGTCCCAGGTTGGCAATACTCCAGTTATTATTATTTTTTTACTATCTGGCTGCCATAAAGCTGTTAGAGGCACAGCACCTCTGAAAGGGAACATCTGCAGCTTATATTAGGTTATGCTGAAAGACTGGCTGCTTCAGCAAAACAGTTCTAAATAGATTGCAACACGTCTTTCAAAGAGAAATCTGAAATTTAATCTGGCAATCAGCCATTGTTTCTCCACTTGGCTCTCCTTGTGTTTTTGGTTTACAAATTTCTAGCAACAGTCAGCCAGTTTTATAGCGGCTGCAAAGAGATCCTGAGACCATTGGCTCAGGATTGCCATAGATCTCAAGCACGTACTTTCTCATCTAGGAACTGTCCACTGTTGTTGTTGTTTTTAAATTGTGGGTGTATTTTACAAATCTTGATACAATGCTAGTGATGAATTTATTCTGCTTTATTAGTTGTTCTACAATGCTGCCCCAGTGCTATCACAATAAAAAATCACAATGATATTTAAGGTAGCCTGGTTCCAAACTGCATAGGGTACATGAGTACCAGCATTTTGAATTTAGCAAATGCAATTCTCCCAACAGCAGTCTGACATGATGGTGGTGATGGTCAGCCCCAGTGAATAGCTGAACAGGAGCATTTTGCACTAGCTGCAGCTTCCAGGCTAACATTAGGGACAGCAGCCCCCACAGAACATGTTATAGTTATCCAGTATGAAGGTTACCCATGCATGTATGACAGTTGTCAGGCTATCCTGGTCCAAAAATAGCTGTAGGTGTCTTAACCAACTGAAGCTGGTAATAGGCAGTTGTAGCCCCTGAGGTCATTTGAGTCTCTACTGGTGGACATAAGCCTGCTCCCAACCCTGGTCCCACCCACTGATGCCCCCTTAGCTTTAATAAGCCAAGATGGGCTTGAGGGAAAACATGGTTGGGTACAGCATTGCAAGCACGTTGTCAACATCATCAAGAGGCATCAGTTGAAACTGATCCCATGACATCACAGAAGATGTTGTGTTGGACACCTCTCTGGGAACTGCCAAAAATGTGACATTGAGCTGGTTATGGAGCCAAGTGACTTTATCCTCTAAGTGCCTTGCAAAGAAGTCAGAGAATTAAAACGCTGCATACATTAAAAACAGACATCTACGTTGCAAGCATTCAAAGCAGTGGCATGATGCAGGTGGCACCATTTTGGTGATGGTACTCAATCTGGGATCTTGTGCCGAAATGCAAACTATGACTTGGTAAGGAGTGGGGATAGGAGCGTCTGCTTGCTTTTAGTGGGATGTACTTTTCAGACATATCTAAGGTTGTTGATATTTCTTCCGGCAATCTTAATTCCAGTTTGGGATTCATCCAGCCCAGCCTTTCAAATTCGGGAGGCAGTGGAAGACAGGAGTGCCTGGCATGCTCTGGTCCATGGGGTCACGAAGAGTCGGACATGACTAAACGACTAAACAACAACAGCAACAACTTTTCAGACAATCCTGCAGTCAGTACCCATTTAAACAATCTTAAAGGATCACATAGGCAAGCCCAGAAATTCCAGTTCCTGAATGCCCCTACAGAAGAGGCGCATTACATTTAACAGCTTACATTTTCACTTTGAATAGATGCTACTTTGCAGCTAGTTGATAAGGGATAAAGATTGGCGGGGGGGGGGGCTCCACAAGAGGAGCCCACAATGCTTTTTGGTCCTCTTGAGGATGCCTTTTCAGAGGTGGACAAAAGGAAAGACTTCCTGTCCCTTCCCTGGCTTTTCGCATGTGGGACCAACATGGGCAAACGCAGCAAAGCATAAACAGTTGCAAATGGGAGGAGGAAGGCTAGAGCTCGCTTTGCATATTTAGCCTTGCCTTGGAATGAATCGAAAGGGAAGTTGTTGGACCATTGTTCGTAGGGCTGCTTCTTTCACGGACGTTTACAGAAGCTGCAGTTTACAGGGGCTTTTCTTCCTGTTGTTTGCTTATGGAAAATAAGTGGGAGTGACAAAAAGAAAAAGAAAAAAAGAGGGAAACAGAGGGAGGCACTGACCACAGTGCAGAACCAGTAACCTTGCCTTGTGTATGATCATTAACCTTGCTGAAAAAGGCAGCTGGGAGCTCATTTCGAAAGCTTGCCATTAGAATGTGAGCTGAGCCACAGATACTGCAGACACATTTCCGGGAGGGTGTCTGCAAATTGGCTGCAAGTGTTACAAATACTATCGGATCCGGTCTGCAAAAATGAGATTCCAGCAGCTCCTTTTGACCTGGTTTTTGCTCCTGGCTGGGGTGCTCCTGATCGACGGACAGAGGCCAGGTAAGGAACCCTGTGATCTGACTCCGTTTCCCCGTCTCAGCTGTCTTTTTGTACATCTCTTATCTCCAGCGTGTGTATGGGGATTTCTGGGGCAGCTACGTTTGAAGCTAGGCTTTCTTTTCCTTTTTTTAAAAAAAAAAGCTCTTCGCCTCCCTTAGTATTATTTTTGCAGCCGTAACTCTCTTTTAAAAAGAGAGAATGGCTTCCTTAAGAGATGCTGCGCCTACGACATGCCACTTTGAGATTTCAGTGCAAAGCCATTTCTTTTCGTGCGCACGAGAAGATGGCAAATAAAGAATTCATGATCACATCAGCTCCTTCAGGGCTTGTGCAAGATGTTACATTTAAATGCTACATTTAACTAGCCTGGTAGGAAGATTTTACCACAATAAAGTCGTGAAAGAAGTGCAAACTGTAAATGTAGATGGGTTAATTCATCTCTATGTGCTGTAACCCTATGAGTAAACTGCAACATCTGAAGAGGGCAGCTTGTGTTATGCAGCTTATGTCCCTGTGCAAATATTTGTGACTCCTCTCCTACGTGTGTGCAATTATTTCACTGTTTTCCATTCCCTATAATACCTGGCTAATATCTGCCTGGACTGCTGCTTTATTGATTCCTATGATGATTTATTAGTTATTTGACTACCTTTATCAGGCAAGGGGAGGTCAGACTTTGCTTCTTCTTTTTTATAACCTCCTGCCTCGTTTGACACCCTCCCAGATTCCTACAGCTTTCAACAATTTTTAACAGAGCATTGACAGAGAGATGGGTGAAATCACATCATCTCATATACTGATTCTCCAGAGGAATAAGATATTTGCATAATTGCCCTCCCCGCCACTCCCCACTTTTCAGAGGGCAGATTCACTTTTCTAAGTAAAGCTGACAGCTCCCAGACCATACACTCTGCGGTAGTCTCCTTTGCTTGACTGATACAACTCTCTGGAGCAATTAGCTTGGAGTAGACGGAAGCCTTAGGCAAAAAGAGCATTGCTTGAGTACTAGCTGGCGGGAATGTACATTCCCAGTCCTCTCTGGTGGAAAAAGCCAAAATGAAACAAGAATGGAACTGAGGGCATACAACAAGTAGCCAGAGTTGTGATCCACCTTTTGGTGCACAGATGAAGAGGCAGACTTCATCTATGGTGAATTCAGAAAATATTCCCTAAGGGAGTGAGTTGCCCTGAAGTCACCTGAGTTTTCCATCCTGCAAAGCAGTTCTCTTAACTGAGCAGCAGGCAGAAAGGGATCTACTTAGTATGCTTTCCCAGATCATTTTGCATATACCTGGGTTTGCATAAACAGGTGGAGGCCTACAATAAGAATAAGGAAGATGCGCTCACATTCAGAGCAGTTGTCTATCCACCTTACCATTCCCAGAGGCTTTGAGAAGACTATTGCATTTATTAGTTTGACTTTAAGGAACACAGAAGAACATTTTAGCTTCCCGACTCTCTTGAAAGATAGCGGCTTGCTGAGGCCACCCACTGAGCATCAGAACTGAGCTTTGAGCATTTCCCACACCCAAAACTAGGCTTTTAGTCATTACACTGGTCTGGGAACATTATTCCCCCACCTTTCCAGCACTGAAAGGCTCAAAGGCACATCAGTAGTGTTGCTTAGTACTTATACAGCACTTTCCTCTGAAGTGTTCAAACATGCTTTGCATGCCAACCCTGTAAGGTAGGCCACTATTACAGCCACAGGGGGAGAGAGTTGATTCAGCCACCACCTCTTCTTGCCTTTCCTGTCCGATGGCCAATGACTTAACTTTTTGTCTGTCTCCGCGATGAATGTGTGTCTAAGGTGAGACTAGAACAAGCTCACAGCTCAGGATATAACCACAATGTACTACATCAGCTCTTTGGCTGATTAGGATGGTGCTACTCTGAATATTTCCCCCACCACTGGTGTTTTATTGCAGTCGTTTTCTGCAACGTGTTCTCAACTCAATAATGAGTGTTTATTCTGCTTGAGTTTGTTCTGCAGTGCTTCCACAGGGCTGCCACATTACTGCTGTCAACAAAAGTAGAATAAAAATAAACCAGGATGCTATAACAAGTTGTAGGAGTTCAGTAGGAAGTTACGGGATAGGTGCTGATTAGAAATGAAGTGGTATGAAGGTGGAATCACATATAACTGCCTCAGGAGCATTGTGAGCACACATGGCCATGAATGTGCAATAAATGAGATGTCTGTAGGGACCCTAAACATGCTCTCTTTTATAAACTGCTTTGAGGGTTTCTTTTTTTTTACAATCAATCCATTTGTAAATTTTATGAAATAAAAAAAAAATTTACATCGGCAATGAAAGTGGCATGCCTTTTTCAGAGAACTCCATAAGTACTATTAGCCCCTGTTTTGTTCTGGGTGCAAAAGTGTTTTGTTTCTTATTTGGAAAAGGATATTTATCAGGTCTCCTCTGCCATTATTTATTCTATTTACCAAATCCCCATTTTCTATATAAAATGGCTCTCCAGGTGGCTTACAAATTTGAAAGAAAAAAAAACCAATTAAACCCTGAATGGATATTAAGAGTTCTTACACACAACACTTTTGTTCCATGCATTAAAATCAAAGAACACAACTCAGCCAAGTATAAACGCTTCTTAAAATTCCATTAATTTCCAGGAAACATGCAGGACAATCCATGCTGACTCAGAAGCCAGCCCCACTGTGATCATTAGGCCTTACTCCCTAGAACGTTTTGCTTAGGATGGCAATTTAACTTAAGCCCTGCTAAACTACTCACAATTTCCTATTTTGTGCCCAGGTGTAGATTTCATGATATTCAGTACATGAACAAATGTGCAAAATCCACATAGGTTTAGATGTGATGCTTTAGTTGAGATTCATGCATTTCAGGGGGTGGACTGGATGACTCTTGGGTCCCTTCCAACCCTACAATTGTATGATTCTATGAACTCAGATGTGACTTACTTCTGAATAGACATGTATAGGACATGTGCCATAAGAGTACAGTGGTACCCTGGGTTAAGAACTTAATTCGTTCTGGAGGTCCTTTCTTAACCTGAAACTGTTCTTAACCTGAAGCATCACTTTAGCTAACGGGGCCTCCTGTGGCCGCGTGATTTCTGTTCTCATCCTGAAGCAAAGTTCTTAACCCAAGGTACTATTTCTGGGTTAGCGGAGTCTGTAACCTGAAGCATATGTAACTCGAGGTACCACTGTACTTAGGTTTGGCTGAACCACAGACAGCTGAAGGTCCTGCAGTTTACAATGGTCTGAGACTTCTGAAAAATTGAGCAAATTCTGGGGTGGGATGGGATGGGATGGGAAGCCGAGTGCTTCTGGAAGAAGACAGACTTGCTACATTGGAATATTATATTTTGGGATCCCACAAGTGCAGGGAATAACATCTTGCAGAAAGCAGACACGCTTTATGCCACTTCAGAACAGCAACCGTTATTGTCTACCTGGCGTTCATTTTGACATCTTGCTCTTTTCATGTTCTCTCTCTCCTGTCTTCCAGCGAATGTGGCCTCCAGGCGAAAACTCCACAGACATCACTGCTCCCACAGGAGATGCATGCCCCTTCATTCCAGAGTGCCCTTTCCCTGAGGTATCCCAAAAATTCTACGGTGCTTGGGCTAATTTTAGGCAAAGGGTCATTCATAAGGGTTTGGTAATAAAACCAGGCGCCAGTAGGATGTGACTGTTGAAGGCTGCCCCTCCAGCATTGTTCTGGGGACAGTGTAGGGGAATGCCAAATGTGTTCACCAGAAAATATGCCCGTTTGCAAACTTATGCATTCATTTCCAAATGGTTTCGGGGGCATTTTGCTAACCTCAGACCGCAAACAATTTCCTTTGGCCTCCGTTCTTTGTGATTTTATTTGCTCTGAAAATAGAGCAACAGGGAGGGAGTGGTGGGGGTGGGAATGAACTCAAGGAGGGGGGGGGGGAGGAACAGCACAATAAAAGTTCTTGTTTTATGTGAACTCCGGGGCACGGTTCCAAATGAGTGAGTAGTACTGGGCTCTCTGTCAATTATTTCACTCTCTGAAGCTGCACAGAGAATGGGACCCATTTGATGCCCTGCTGTCTTTTTGCAGTTTTCCACCCCCTTCCTCCCAATCTTGCACATGAAAGTGATAATAATTCATTATTATAAAACCTGAAAGATAGAATCCCTAGGCCAGAACCATCCAACAAGTCTATCTCACTTAAGAATAAGGTGGACACAATATAAACATTGGATCTACCTGGAGTATGTGGAATCCAGGGGGTAGCATTGGTCATAGTGTAGACACTGGGTAGGCAACCTAAGGCCCGGGGGCTGGATCCAGCCCAGTCACCTTCTAAATCTGGCCCACGGACGGTCTGGGAATCAGCATGTTTTTACATGAGTAGAAAGTGTGCTTTTATTTAAAATGCATTTCTGGGTACTTTGTGGGGCATAGGAATTTGTTAATCTCCTCCCTCCAAAAAAAAATTATAGTCCGGCCCCCCACAAGGTCTGAAAAAGTTTGCTGACCCCTGGTGTAGACCTACTGAAATCAGTGGATTTAAAGTAAGTTATAATTAACTTAAACCTTTTGATTGCAGTGGGGCTAATCTGAGTATGACCTAGTCGAATACCACCCAGAGGTGTCTGGTGTTATTCAGTGTTATTAGGAGAAGATTCCTTCCACCCTCTCTGAGTCAACCTATGGCAGGATTCATGTGAAATTGTGTCAAGGATCTGATCTTCATGTGGGAAGACTCTCACTAGATTTTGTAATGCCCTTCTTCTATTATTTTCACAGCAGCATGATACACAGCCATGTGGCAGGGAATGCTTTCCTGGCATTTATTTTATTTGTTGACTTTGTAAAGCTTCTATACTGCTTGATTGTAGAAAAGCCTCAAAGCGGTCTACATAAAACATTAAAATTATCAATAAGAAATTATAAGAAATTGACACGGAGATGCTTTTCCTCAGCACATTAACTTGGTGGATTTGTTCATGCCAGATTGTTCTTAAAGAAACAGGATATATTTTTTAAAAAACCCAAAGGCAGCCATTACCATTTAGCTCTGTAACAGCCAACTTTGCTGAATGGACACTCTATAAACCAGGCATGGGGAATCTGTGGGCCTCCAGTTGTTGTTGAAAACCAGCTCCTATCAGCCCCAGCCAGTATGGCCAATGGTCAAGGATAATGGCAATTATAACTCAGCAACATCTTCAGGGCCACAGGTTCCACACTTCTGAATGTACACACTGAACATTTAAAGCACATGACTTCCCCTAAAGAATTTCAGGAGCTGGTTTCTTAAGGGTGCTCGGAATTCTAGCTCCGTGAGGGGGAAACTGCAGTTCCCAGGATTCCTGGGGAGGGGAATAATGTGCTTTAAATTACGGTGTGCATGCAGCTTTCAATTCCACGTGGATTTCACCACTGGTAGAGCTGTAACCACAGGCCTTTGTAGGTTTTTTTTTAAGGGTTTTATCCAGGGTGATGGCAAATTTCAGTCCATTAATTGAATGAGGAGGACTAGTGTTGGGAACAGTCCACCATTTGGAACTGCTCCCTATTTAATTAAAAAGGTATCACCTAGATTGATCTTGTTAAGCGGGAAGAACTCAAAGGTCCTTTGATGTGAGGTCCCAAGGAGCAGCTGTGTTATTCTAGCACAGCAGAAAGACAAAGCACGAGGGGGCATCGACTAACAAGCCTGTCATAGCAGGGGCTCATGTGCCATCCTATTCAAAAGAGTCGGGAGCAGGCTGTTGCATTGTGAACCTGAGAGCTCTTTGATTTTAAGATTGCATTCCGCGGTATAAAGCTGAAGTAGCACTTTTGAACCCAAGCGGGGCTTCAGCAGGTTAGAGAATAGGAGGTGCAAAGAATCAATGCTCTCTAGTCTAGAGGGCACCATATAAATGCAGATGCTTCCGCCGCTCCAGAAGCACACAGGTAGGACATGTAAATATGTCACAGCAAGGATCAAAAGGATGCCCAAGCTGCCTTTTAGAGAAGCGCACTATTTGCAGATGAATAAAACATGCACTTGATAGCTTTGCATCTGGCAGCGCCTCTTGTTATATACATCAGGATAATGGCATAGCCTTAGGTAGTTTGGCTGTAATAAATAAAAAATGACACAGGCTATAAGCCCCAAAATCAATTCTCTCAAAATGTCAGCTTCTTGGAACTAGCAAGACTAATCAGGAGTGAGTGTCGTTAAGGGACAGCAACTGGCCCTTCAAGGACACTTTACATTTTGCTAAGCAGTTCAGCCGAAGTCAGAATTGCATTTCTGACAGTGCCGTAAGTTTTGTGAAACCTATCTGCATGAAAGCTGGGAAGAAAATGAAATCCATCCAAAACATTTTCAGCGCTATTCTTCTTTGTCTGTTATATATATATATATATATCGCATCATCAGTGCTGCCCTGGACTTCTTGGGAGGAGCAATAGGATATAAAAATAAAAAATACATAATGCACATGCCATTTTACAGCATAGAAGAGTACAAGTCGCTGTCTCAGGGGCTAACAAGAAGTCTGTGGTGCAAAAGCCCTGATGAATTGGACCAAAAGCCTATCTTGTCTGGTGTGCTGTTCCCACAGTGACCCACCAGATGCTGATGGGAAGCTCAGAAGCAGATCATGAGCACAATAGCACAGTCCCAGCTCATGTTCCCCAGCAACTGGTATTCAGATGCTAGAGGTAATATATAGCCACCACGACTAGTAGCTATTGATAGCCTCATCCTCCATGAATTTGTCTAACTTCCTTTCAAAGCCATCCAGGTTAGCGACCATCACTGCATCTCTTGGTTGCGAATCCCAAGGTTTAACTGTGAGCAGAGAAGCACTTGCTTTTGTTTGCCTTGAATCTACCATTCGCCATCAGAGAGCCAGGAGAGGAAGGGTGAGAGGAGGAGAGGCAGGAGTAAACAGGGAAAGAATGTGGGTTATTTCAGTTATACACACTTAGGCTTAGTCACAAAGGAAGCCGGTGAAGGAATTTGATAAGTGATTCTAAAGCAATGGGCATTCATTCGGCCCCAAACAGCCTGCACTGAGATACAACCAAGAAACCCACCAGAAAACAGTTGATGTTTGCAAGAAGCCTCAGTCAACAAAACAAAAAACAAAAAAAAAAGGTTTCTTCCTTGAAAGTAACACCTTGGCTTATATGTGATGCTGGAAGTACCAAATGTATTTAAAAGCTTTGTCTCCATCATGTTAAGTTTTTCCAAGATCTCAGCCAGCTACATCACTGGGTTTTTTTTTTAAAGAAATGTGCCTTTTTAGAATGATAAAAAGGGGGCAAGATCCACCTGTGTGTCAATTACAGCAGGTGGCAGATTAAGCGAGAGCCAAAGTGACCACATCCACTCACTCAGCACTTTGGAGTTTAGGGGCACTGTGGAAATCAGAATTAGGAGGAGGCAGACTCCTCGAGTCACTAGCTTCAGAAGTGTTTCCGAGTATGGAATCAATCGTCTCCTTCCCCCACTTCCAGTGTTCCATGACTGTGTGCAGAGACAATCTCTAATGCGCCTTGAAGCATAATGCATGCAAGTTAATAGTACAGAGTCTGGGTGATAAACATGCACTTAGGTGGATTTCCCATCCCTCCTTACAGAATATCTGTTTGCAAGACTAAAAGCTATTTTGTAGCTAGTTCCGTTTGGGGAAACTGCTCTGCCCTAACAACAGAGCAGAAACAGATGCTCTTTAACCATGACCTGGTCTAGAGATATTCTGAACAACTGAAATGTGCATTTTGGAGTGCCAGGGAAGGGGTGGGGACAGAGTTCAAGATTTCAAACTGGTCTGCAAAAGTCGCATGGTGCATCCCCTACAACTACCGTATTTTTCACTCCATTGGACGCACCGGACCATAGGACGCACCGGATCATAGGAGGGGGAGAACAGGGGAAAAAAAAATTTTCTTGTTCTCCCCCTCTAAAACAAGGTGCGTTCAAGGTACATTCACCAGAGCTTGTGGGGCTGGCAGTGGGGGGAAGCGCTGCTTTCCCCCACCGCCAGCCTCAAAGATCCCTGAAGCCTTTGGAGCGCAGCGCCCCGCTGCCCTGCAGAGGTTTGCGCGCAGCCGTCCCCAAGCTAGAGCAGCGAGACGGAGCCCTCCGTCTCGCTGTTCTGGCTTAGGAACAGCCTTGCTAGCTTCTGCAGGACAGCGGGGTGAAGGCACCCCGCTGCCCTGCAGAGGTTTGCGCGCAGCCGTCCCCAAGCTAGAGCAGCGAGACGGAGCGCTCCGCAGTGCTCCGTCTTCCTGTTCTGGCTTTGGGCTTAGCGGCGCAGCCTGCATTCGCTCTATAGGACGCACACACATTTCCCCTTAATTTTTGGAGGGGGAAATGTGCGTCCTATAGAACGAAAAATACGGTATATGGGTCATGCTCTTTGTTGTACATTTGTCTGCATGGAATCCACACATTTTCAAGCTGAACACTCCCAGGATTGTTAAAGATTCTTACAAAATTAAGCACTGGTTGAGTCTAAGCTTTGCCTGTGGTTCTGAACTGGTCAAGTACTGATTAATCCACTAGAGCAGGGATGCTATTGACCCTCCAGATCAGGGTTGGCTATCAGGGGACTCCAACTCCCATTACCCCAGTCAGCCATTGCCCAATGATAAGGAGGCTCTGAAGGGCTCAGTGTTAGCTCTTCCTGCTCCAGATATTGTTGGACTACCACTCCCATCACCCCTAAGCAGTGCCCATGCTGGCTGGGGATGATGGGATATGGAGTCCAATGTCATCTAGTTCTCCATGTCAGCCGTAAGAGTAACTCACGGTTGAGCTTATCTTTGCTGTTTCCCAGGCAGTAGCACCTTCAGATGAAATGCAGCTAGGCCTACCAGAAAAGCCTTCCCCTTTATATTTCCTACTGGCTGAGGGTTGCTCGCATGTATTCATCACACATTATATCAGTTCCAATGACAGCCCATGAGGCTCAGAGGCCATACTTTCAGCTAACTGAATGGCAATAAGTAAAATGGCCATTCTTACAAAATTGCAAGTCTTGGCAAAAAGAGTTGTGTGTCAATGAAAGATTTACTGACATTTTGAATATTCCTTTTTAAAAAAACAAAAACTAGCCCAATCTTAAGAAATGCATCATGGGCACAAATGTTTTAACTGTTAATGGGGAGGAAAATAATCAGCTCTCAAATGCATTCAGTCATTGCACTGGCCTGATTTTGAGATTAAGATTATAAAAAGAGAATGTTCCTCCTGCTAGAATTTTTACTGCAGATTATGTATATATCAAACTTTTGAATTATTCTACCGCGACTGGTGAAGAAGATTTAGACACTTTGGTTGCAGTTTCTGATCATTTGTATTAGTCTATAAATAGTGTTTAGTGCCATTGTTATTGGCCATCGTGTTGTGTTACTTTGTTCAGACTTTTTCCTGCAGCAGCAGATTCATAATGTGTTTCGAAATCCTGGCCTGCTCTCAGAGACTGAGGATGAATTCCCACAGACATACAGAGGCATAAAAGATCATAGCCGTGCCATGGCACTCAGATGGAAGGAAGCTCCGTTGAATTTAACAGAGAACAGAAATGCTATTAATAATACTTACACTGTGTCAGCAGCAAGCATGACATCTCACAGAGTTATATAGACAAGTCAAATCCCTGCTAGCAAGGAGTTTACCAAGTAGGAAGGCTGCTTAAGGATTGCCCCAAAATAGGAAAGTGTCACAAAAGGAGAGAAAGTGAGGACGAAAGAATCAACAGGTTTTCATAAAATGTGTGCATACTAATTTATTTGCATACAAATTTAGAAGCAATTGCTGTCATTTAAATTGTAATACAATGCAGTTCACTATAGTGGCCTATGTGCCTGCTCTGTTTTCTGGCGCTATTGATGGATCATTTCCAGGCCCCTCCTGCTCTCCCTTCTTGAAGTCCTAACCTTTAAGCTAGACTTAGACCAGGCAGCCCATCACATAGAGGGCCGTCCTCTTTAAAGCTGGATGTGTGCCCCAGTTCCAGGGGCAGGAGTATCATGGAAACTCCAGACTCCTTAGAGATTGTACCTTTTCATATTTTTATACAAGGGCTCTCATTACATAATGGACCCAAAATGGCTATGATCTAGAATGGTGTTATGGTACAAGGACACTGGAATGAACTACTTAAATTTCCCGAATTGGAAGATTCACCCATGTTTTCTGTCTCCCGTAAACCCTTAAGATTGCAAATTGGGATCCACTCTCACATATGTTAAGGAGGAATCATCACACTAGGCTTGCCATTTGGACCTGCCTTGAGAAAGAGCAAAGAGGCAGAAAATGATTTATTTGGGTAGCCAGATGAAATGGGAGGACAGGCCGCCTGCACCTTTAACGGGGAATTTCAGGAAATTCTCTGAAATTATTCTACACAATTATTAAAGGTGTAGGACATGCACACTGAAAATTTCAAACTGGTTTCTATTTGTTTGGAGTTGGTTTTTAAAGTGGGTGCCGGGCCTTTTAGCATAGCCTCTTATTTGTAACGTGGACTATATGGGGGACTATTTAGCTGATCATATTAGAAAAAGTGGTATTTCCTAGGGATACAACATTGTCAGTTACAGACACGAATTTCCACCTGTTTCACAAGCAAAGTCTTTTGGAAATGCAGCAATTGGTATGTTTGCTCAAGTATTACCCTTCCAAGGGTCTCAAGTGAGCACAGTCAGACTTTTAGGCTCCTCTAAGCATCTATGGGTAGCAACCACTGTTTGAATAATGTACCTATTTAACTGGTTTTTAAACCGGTCAGGGGATGGGGCAAATGCATCCTGTTTACCTGAACCAAATCAACTTGTGCAAGCAAACCTACAGCTATTGCACTTAAACCTCAAAATTTCCACTGAAAACAACTCTCATAATGGCTACAATTCTCTGTAGTTGCATAGATCTCTTCAAAGCAGCAAATGATACACAATGCAGGGCTATACGGAAGAGAGCAGCTTAAGAACAGAAAATGTCCTTTCCTTGGATAATAATATTTTAATGTTCATACCTTATAACTCTCTGCAATCACAGAACAGATGTAAAGTTTATTATGACTGGGGTACAAATTCCTTGGCACCAGAAAGTCAGCTGCTGCTGCTGCTGGCTTTGAGAGAAGTTCAACTGTTCTCAAAAATCTGTTCTTCCCCCTACCTCTTTTAAAAGTTGAGGACTATATGTGTACAAGTGGGGTTCGAACAGGAGTTGTCAAGGTGTCAACCAACCAGGAGTACCCAACTCCATTCAACCCCTACCCATCTCCTGTCAATTTCTTCACAACTGACTCTAAACCAGGGGTCAGCAAGGTTTATCTTGTCTGGGCCAGATCAGTCCCGTGGATATCCCTCTGGGCCGGATCACCTGCGCGCACGATTTTTTGCACCTGCACCTGTGCAGGCGCAATTTTTGGCACCGCAGAAGTGAGTCCCCGCACTGCGCCAGTTTAGCGCAGCACATGAGTGGACAGTTCAGTTCAGGGGCAGATCGTGGGCCAGTCAAATGACCTCCGCGGGCCACTTCCAGCCCATGGGCCTTAGGTTGCTGACCCCTGCTCTAAACATTCAAATGCCTTCTAAGCATCCCTGATCCTCATTGAGATGGGTTTTGGTGGGGTGTTAGTGCCATATTTTTCTAATAAGAAGAATTGTACTTTGGCAATGCTTTTTTCCTGAGCCTGCCGATAGCTACCTCTTTTTTGTGGTCCTGGTTGGCAATGTAATCATCACCCCCTGATCACCTGAGTTTGCTATTAGCTTGTTTGGAAGTTCTAGCAAGGGAGTGCAGCTACTGTATCTAGGATGATCGTCCTCTTCCACTGAGTGTGCGGCTTTGTGGGGGGGACACACAGGGAGCAGAAGGAGGCACCCACCTAGCTAGCCAGATCAGTCGAATCAAACCTGGAATGACATGTAGCAACCAGATCACCCTTGCATCACATTTTTAAAAACTTGTGCCAATAAAGGCTAGTAGAAACTATTAGGAGCAGGGTTTAAAAAATGTTGACCACCTTAATTCAATTATTTTAAAATATTGTCTGGTTTACTCTTCCCCCAAATGTAGCTTCCACCAACTGACTGGCGAAAGGAATTGAGATGTGTAAATGACAAAATTTGATAGCGGCACTGTTGTAATCTATATAGGTGTCCCATAAACCATCACCTGGAAACATTCAAAAATCATCTTACCAGAGGCCTGCTGAAACAAGCTTCACAGGAGTTTTGGGTTTCTCTAAGCAGGAATAAAAGCAATGAAGAACTTAGGGATCCTCTTCTAGACTTTGGAGAATCATCAGTGCAATATGATCACCATTCTTCTCTACTCATCAACACCAGTAACCAGAAAGCGAACTTCACAATATTAGAAGAGTTGTGTGTCATTAAAAAAAAAAAAAACCCAAACTATTGGTATATTAATAGTGTTTATTCACGTGTCTGTATATCTTTTAACACCCAGCTAACAATATGCAAGAAAGAAGCCATTGTTTCATAAACATCATGATTCGTTGGAATAGTTATAAAAATGCATATTGGATGTTTGAAGCTAGGGTTATTCTATCACCTTTCCCAGTCTTTCAAGACTAGTATATCTGTTGACATTACTAGGTGAATACTTCAAGTGGAAAATTCCTTAAATAATGATCAGCCTTAACTGGAAAGTCTTACAAGCATGACTGAATCTTCCACTCACACCAGTGGAAAATATGCCAAAGCTATGCTGGATGCTAGATTAGTAGAACCGGGGTCAAAAAGATCAACCTAGTCTTCCTTAAAAGTATTACTGGTTGTATTTGTACTAATTTTAACCTGTTTACAACTTACTTTGGGATTCAATTATTTCCTTAAAGCATGTTTGTAACTGTATATGTTGTAAAATGGTACTTCAAATAGCATTCTCATATTAATCTTTGTACAATTTTGTTAAAAATTTTGTATTCTGTACATGGAAATTGCCCATATCCAAAGACAAGTGAAATATTTGCCTAATTTGTAAATTTCATAAGGGATCAATGTAAACTTTAATAATTGATGTAGCTAAATAAAATATAGCTTAAATCATGCTATTAATTTTTCTTTCTTTCTTTCTTCCTTTATTTATTTATTTATTTATTTTTTTGGAAAGAATGTTGATCAGATTTTGCAGCTTGTAATGCATTCATTCACTTTAAATAAGATACAGCTGTTGAGATTCTGCCTGGGAGCTTGCCACAGGCACCTATGGGAACAGAATACAGGACACTGCTGGCCTTGCTTTGATCCAAAAGCGAAGTTGTTTATATAATGCAATAAGGAAGCTCCACAGTGGATCCTATGCTAATGCCTGTGCAAGAAATCTTTGTTTTTAACCTGCAATCCTATGCACAGTCACTGAGGACTAAGTCCCATTTAGCTTAATGGACCTTCAGGATAGATAAGGATAGGATTGTGCTGTCAGTCTCACTTTTCATGGACTAGGCAATCATAAGCTTTAAATATATATAAATAAGGTCAGAGAGTCATTCTCCTTTTGCAAACTTGCTGGCTGCATACCCTCAATCACATCCCATGCTGGCCCCACCTTCACACACTGGAGAGTCTGAAGGCTTCTGGCCTAATTAGAACTCTGATCCCACAGGGTTTCTTCTCATCTAGAAGTTTGGAGGGTGGCAATGCCACCAAGCACAAGTGATGGCAATTGCATGAAGGGCTTATTTATTTACTTATTGCATTTATATGCCACCTTTTTCTCCAAGGTCCTCCGTGTAGTGTAAGTGGTTCTTCCCCCTCTCGATTAACCCCAACAACCCTGCGTGGTAGCCTAGTCTGAGAGGCAGCGACTAGCCCAAAGTCACCATATGAGCTTTATGGCCAAGTGGGGATTTGAAAACTGGTTTCCCAGGTCCTAGTCCAACACTCATAGCCAATGGAGTGGAATGGTTATGACTGCAAAGGCCTATGCTGGCCTATTTGAATGGGAGTAATGTGGGGGTAATGGTGGGACGTGGGTGGCGCTGTGGGTTAAACCACAGAGCCTAGGACTTGCCAATCAGAAGGTCAGCAGTTCGAATCCCCGCAACGGGATGAGCTCCTGTTGCTCAGTCCCAGCTCCTGCCAACGTAGCAGTTTGAAATCATGTCAAAGTGCAAGTAGACAAATAGGTACCGCTCCGGCGGGAAGGTAAACGGCATTTCCGTGCGCTGCTCTGGTTCTCCAGAAGCAGCTTAGTCATGCTGGCCACATGACCCGGAAGCTGTACGCCGGCTCCCTTGGCCAATAAAGGGAGATGAGCGCCGCAACCCCAGAGTCGGTCACGACTGCACCTAATTGTCAGGGGTCCCTTTACCTTTACCTAATGTACAAGCATTTAAAACGCTGGGATCAAAGGGACTATTCCCACCAGGATATGGCTCCAATTGCAAGAGGCTGGCAGGCCTGGGAAAGACCTCCATTTTCCTCCAGCAAATGAGAGGTCAGCTGGTATCGGCTTCTATTTGCATGCTGATCAATTGTTTTCCATGGTCTAATATTTACGCACAGGAAGAGCAATCAATTCATAGGCAGTTTCGTCTCCAAACACATTGTAATGCACCAGAGGTGCTGAGCCAGTTCCCACAGTGACACTGCTTTCATGTCTCTGGGGTTATCTCAGGATTAGGCTATTTGATAGCCTTCCCCAGGCAGACTGCTTTTCCCTTTAATTACCCTTCACTGGAAAAGTTTTGACCCTAGCTCCATGGATATGTCTTGAACAGACTGCGCTCCTATTTAAGGCCTTGAAACAATATGGCAGATTTTTTATATGAAAAATTCAATCCAGCCAGCAAGACCAGCACAGTTCACCAGGAGTGGGAAGACACAATGAAGGAAAATAGGTGCCATGGAGAAATGATGCTTTCTTGACATTTACCCACTGTTTCTCAAGCTTTCAGCTCTTAAAGTTATCTTTTTTTAAAGGAGTTATAAACATTGATAAAAGAACTCAAATTATGTTGGGCAAACTTACTTTTTAAAAAATATCTACTTCTCATGACACCTTCGGATGTTTCCATTTTCTCTCTCAAGATTAGAAAAAAAATAAGGCAAACCATACTTTTTATCATAAATCCTTCCCCATGCAGGCAGCTATCCCAATTGCTAAATTTTATTTCTGCATGATCCTAATTCGTCTATGGGACACAACAATAAGCAAATTTGTACCAACGAGTCATTTAATGCAAGAATCCAGTTTTGCATTGTCCTTTAACCCCACCAGTAATGGGGTGGGTCAATATTCACTTCTGCCAATATTTAATTTATGCACAACTCACCAACAATAGGAGCCTTGAGAGAATTCTTGCTTTCAATTAATATATCTAGCTGCTACAGAGAAAACATTCTAAAAACTACAGTAAATATATGAAAGCAAGTAGAACTCAATGTTCCTTTCCAACTTTTGGAATGCAAAGTTTTCCCCATTATGCAAACGCTATTCCAGGGGTCATCTTTCCAGCCAATAATTTCAGAATAAAGCATTTAGAGGATGCTACTAGGTAAATGGGTTCAATGCAATTTAACAGGCTAAAAGAGTAGACCTGGCTGATGTCAACAGAAGATGTGATTTAACAACTGGGTTCGACACGATATGCAGATTTTGCACAGGTGCCCTAGGTTCAATATTCTGACATTGACTCAAGCCTTCAATTTACTGTGACTTTCTTATGGTTCTAGGCACTTAGCTGTGACTTACCAGACTCAATGGCAAGAATAACACACCAGCAGGCGTTTACGAAGACCTCCAGTCTCAAGTGCTCTACCCCAATGCAAGAGCACAAGAATCTTTATCTTTAGCTAGCAGCAGACTAAAGTGAGTAGGGTTTGTTGCGTTTATTATTTCACATTTAGTACAAAACAGAGAATGAGTCACATACAAATCAGATCAAAACCTGAGTGTCCTTTTAAAAAAGGAAAAGTATACATATTTCTTCCTCCACTTCTTAATAAAATCCCAACTGTGTTTAAGGCACAGCTAACAAGGAAAGAACATGTTAAGTGTCAGAAGCCGCCAGTTGCAGTTTTTCTATACTGTCCCTTAAACAATACTATATACATCTCTCACTGAGCAGTGGATTAACAGTCTGTTTGCATGAAGTGTGATAGAATGGTATGCTTTTGTTCTCTCTAAACTAGATCGCAGCACATGTTTGGAAAATCCTCCTGTTTGTTTAAGTGTTTGTCTTTCTACAGAAATATTGACTAAGATATACAAAAAAAAAACCAACAGAAAACAAAAAAACCACCCAGCCTTTGTTGGCAGCAAAGTGGCATAGCAGACAAATGACAGCTGTTTGTAGCTGGATGGGGAACTTAAAGGGGGAATGCGTCCCAACGATTAGCATCTACAGAGTTCAATCAAATACAGAGATTAGACATTCAAAGCAGAGTTGAACCTATAAACACTTCTGTGAGCCACTTGGCTTCAGGGGGAGAAATGCCGACATTTTCAAAGACAGCAGACACTGGATACTATCCTGTAAAGTGAAATATTTGCAGCAACGATCATGGCAGATTCAAACTGTATGTCAACATTGTAAGAAAAATGCTTTTGTTAGTTAACTTTTATCCATTTCTAAACTTCAGCGCCATGAAGCATGTGTGAATCACTGTGATGCAAATTTTTGGGGGTTTTCCTGTCTGTGTATATATCCCATATGAAGGATTAGATAAACAAGTAGTTTTCCATGAGAATAATTTAAGGACTGTTTTTTAAGCAGGACACACCTTGGTGGCCAGGGAAGGGGGACATGTGATCCCCTGGATGTTGCTGGACTGAAGCTTCCATCATCCCTGATTGTTGACCATGATGGCTGGGGCTGAAGGAGCTGCAATCCAACAACACCAGGAGGGCAAGAGGTACTCAATTCTCCCTGAAATACGTTTACACATAGCTTGTTAACATGCAGGTTCTTATGTTATGCCCATGCACTGTCCCCTTAATTATTCTCACTTATTTCCAGCTAGCAAGACAAGCAGAGAGGTTTAAGCAGAAGGGATAACCGGTCTGCAAAAAGAAAAAGCTGGAGGCAGTGAACAACATATTTTCAGTACGCAACCATTTGCTGACAACAGGATACTGGCATTTATAACATGTGATAATGCAACACGTGAACAAGCCAGAAGAACTGGCTTCTCTGACTGCCAGCCTCATCTTGCCATCCTTGTCTGGAGTGATGCTTGAAATGTCATCTATACAACTGCCTTGGGACTAGCTACTGAATGCTTCACTTCTCTTTCCCACTTGTCTAAGTGTCGTCTCCATACCGCTTTGGATCAGTCCCTGAATTTACAGTGCTACTTGTCATCATGAGTGCACTTACATTGGTGAAAGTCTCCCAGAGTCAGTTGTGACACCCTATGGGATCTTGCCACTGTGAGGTCATCCATCGCAGCCGCAGTATAGAAACAAACAATCCTTAATTGATGGCCTTACCAATTACCAAATAAATGCACAGTATATTAACATTTTGATACTTGATACTCAGGTGTTTGCTTCATACTGGTTTGAAAAAAGATGGCATTCAAAACGACGACTAAAATCTTTGGAAATCTGCATCACTTTCAAATCAGAGAGTTGAAAGAACCAAACAGACAACTGATTGAGGTGTTTTCCCCCTGGTTAATGCCAGCTCTCTGTACGGGAGGGATTTTTTTTTGGGGGGGGGGATCTCAAAAATAAAAGTGTCCTTTAAAAACCAAGCAGCTTTAAGCACCAAGCCAGATGAGGTCCGACAGCTGCTCAGAACCAGGACTGAAAACCTGTCACTGCAAACTTGCGTAAGATGTGTTTGCTGCTGTCAGAGGACGAGTCAATATTCAAGTTAGTCCGCCATTTTTAACACTGTTTGGTCACTGTTTCCTGGCCACAGCTAGCCCCTGCCCTGCTGGGATGTTAAAGCCAGCATCTTCTGGCTCAGTAGAGCATTGTGTCGTTTAAGGTATTCTATCACATCTCCTTGTTTTTCAACTACTTCTTCCAAGCTTGAGGCTTCCCTAAAAGACAAATTCAAACCACGTTACTTACAGAACATTATCATCTTCCATCTCAACCATGTGAAACTTAAGAAGGCAACAGCAACTCTTCCCCCTACTGGACACCCTCCTACTCCCAAAATGCATTTACATACTGATCTCAGATTTGTTTAGTTATACGATGCCTTTTGGGGAACAGACCACCCAAGGTGGAACACAGTTACCTTAACACAATGAATACAGAAATCTCAAATAATCAGAACAAAGGAGCATCATTAACGCCTATTAAAAAGTCAAGTAAAACACTTACACCGACTCTTAGTAAAATAACCCTTATGCTTTATGATGGCTTTGGCCTAAAGACAAATATGTATTAAAAAGTTCTATATTTGGTGGAATATAGAAATCTCAAGATATGTCCAGCAATATTACTTATAGTTTCAGCTCCATGTTAAATAAAGGAAGGCTGTTACACTATTTTGGTGGCTTACAGATTTGACTGGTTCAACAGGTTATGTGTGCATTTATTTCTTGAACCTTCAATAACCACAGCCACTGCCAGCTGTCATATATCTATTTGGCACCAAGTGTCTTCCAAGCATATGAAAAAAATCACTGTGTCTTCAGATATGCACCAAGGAAGGAACAAATGAACTAACAAAAGTAGTAGATAAACACAGTTCCCAATTCAGAGGACGCAGCTAAGCCCAAAAGTGTTTATGTAGATAAGCCACATACAGAGTTGTCAACTGTACGTCAATCAAGTCCAGCATGTCATTAACCATGACAGTACCAAGCTACACAAATACCAGTGATATCTATGGTTACACTCTCAGTAATGGTGCAGAACATTATGTTGGCATCTATCAAGAAGTCAGACTTCATCTTTCCAATAAATGCTATTTGTTACCTAGTGCACAGGAGGAATAATGAGTAACAGGAGATGTTACCTGAATCCAACTTCTGAGGTAGTGTGATTAGGATAAGCATACATCTGCTCTTCTTCTATGACATCAGGTCTTGGTTTTGCCCGGTTAAAGTTGCTTACCTTTACTGTAATTAGATAAGGGGAAAGCTACAGTGTGTGCAGTCTGACACCGGAAATATAAATTGACAGTTCAGAAGACTTTTAAATACAGAACCATATTAATTTATAGAACAATGAGAGGGAACCTGTGGCCCTCCACCTGTTGCTGCATTTTATTTCCCATCATTCCTGACCCCTGGACCATTCTGGCTGGGGCTGATGGAAGTCCCAACCACACCTGGAGGGGGTTCTCCATTTCTGTTCTACCATTTGATCCACCCACAAAAGAAAAAGAAGATTGCTACAAGATGGGACTTTCCTTCTGGCTCCATTCCATACATTAACACAACACACTCCATGAGCCAGGTATAGCTGACCTGAGTTACAAACATGCAATATCCTACTTTTCCACATCTGGACCACAGCCAATGCATGTTGAGTGACCTGTGTTGTGTTCCTAGGTCTGCTTAAAGGTAAAGGTAAAGGTAAAGGGACCCCTGACCATTAGGTCCAGTCGTGACCGACTCTGGGGTTGCGGCACTCATCTCGCTTTATTGGCCGAGGGAGTCGGCGTACAGCTTCCGGGTCATGTGGCCAGCATGACTAAGCTGCTTCTGGAGAACCAGAGCAGTGCACGGAAACGCCGTTTACCTTCCCGCTGGAGCGGTACCTATTTGTCTACTTGCACTTTGACGTGATTTCAAACTGCTAGGTTGGCAGGAGCTGGGACTGAGCAACAGGAGCTCACCCCGTTGCGGGGATTCGAACCGCTGACCTTCTGATCGGCAAGTCCCAGGCTCTGTGGTTTAACCCACAGCGCCACCCACATCCCTTTAGGTCTGCTTAGAGTACTGCTATTGTTGTTTTGATTTACATTCAGTACAACAGGCCCCTGCCTAGAGAAGCTGACAATTGAGCACAGGGGGGGAAGAGGAAAAGGAAGAGAAGCAGAAAATAGGAGAAAGCAGGGAACGTGCAGCTGAATATGTTACTTAGGCAGATTTACTACCCATAGCAAACCCATAAACAATGCTTGAAAGCTGAAGCCCAAGAGGGAAAAACTGATCATCCTTGCAATGAGTGTGACAGTGGGAAATGGCATGTTTTATACCACTTTCGGCCAGTTACGAAAAAATAATTGGCAGCTTAATTTTACAGACCAGTTAATGTGGTTTGGCGAGTCCCCTTCAACCGTCCCTAATCGGAATGCTTAAATTCATCTGATCTCTTTGGCAAAAGATGGTGGAGGAAGTTCCTTTTTAAGAGAGTTCCACTGTCAACACAATGCTTCATTCTCATCTACTCAGTCAGCATCTCCTTTTGAATAGGAACTTTCTTCTTCTCTCCCCCCTCCTATCTCCCCCCATAGAATTGCTATACTAGACCACCTGTTGTGTACAAGCAGGTTGCATGACTGATCAGAAGAATAACCAAGGCAGATGTGTCAGCAAGCTGTAAAGTAATCAGCTGAGTTTGGCTCTCAACAACATCAGAATTCAGCTATTCATGACCGGATCAGATTACCCCGGCACATGCATTCCAGGACATTTAAGGCAATTGTAACCCAACAGGTGTCCTGAAGGGTTCAGATACACAACTACTTCATTTGGGAAGGTTGGTGGTAAAAGAAAGATCATGAAAAGATAAGAAAGTTGATGATTCTCTTAAAAAACTGAATTTTCAGGCAAGGGTGTCATTGCTCATGTAGCCCAACCAGGGTCATCAACACACAAGAGGTCCAGAGGATATCAAGGTTTGCAGAAGAAAAATAAGTCTTTAGAATATAGGGGCAAGGCCCACAAAATAGTCGGATAAGGCTCAAGGGCAACCAATGGCCACAGAATGCTCACTGAATGTGTGCGGTGGTGTGCGAATAAAAAAGACAGGAAGGGGAAATGAAGCGACACAAACCCTGAGCAAAAGGACTGCAACGTTTTGTTGTAGGTTCCACTTGTGAACTCTAACACAGAGGTCGGGAACCTCCAGCCCACCACTCTAATTAGGTCCAACATGGGTCCCAATTGGGCCATTTTCTCCAAAACCATGCCCAGCTGCCCCATTCCTGACTTTATACATAATGTCAGGCAAGAAACAAGTGTATGGACATGGCTACAAAGGAATTCCTGGGAGCTCGAAGTAAGTTCTTGACTGTTCCTTTGCAAGTGGAGCAGGCCAACAGCCCAATGGGAAGGAGACGAGGGAGCTCACTGTCAGCAAACCCCATCTCATCCATTTGTAGGTGAATTTTGAGTAGAGGTTCCCAGGGCCACTTTCACAATGGGCAAAGGCAAAAGACACATGGCAAAGTAGTAGCGGGATTGTTATGTGCCTTCAGAGAAAAAAACAACAACTTCATTTTCTCAGCTAGATCTACTTTCATGTGTGCATTTAATGCAGGCATCCCCAAACTCAGCCCTCCAGATGTTTTGGGACTACAACTCCCATCATCCCTGACCACTGGTCCTGTTAGCTAGAGGTGATGGGAGTTGTAGTCTCAAAACATCTGGAGGGCCGAGTTTGGGGGTGCCAGATCTAATGGAACGTGGTTTACACAAAGTAAATCTTCATTTAATTAGCAGGATGTGTACACGCTCCATACATCTGCATGCAGTCCCCTAATCCACTCTTTGTGCAAACTTGACAGTATGCCAAGCCACTGCAGTTAACTATAGCTTCTTGTCACGTGAGAACCAGGAACAACAAGCAAGGAAGCAAAAGCTAACTTTAAACCATGACTTACACATGCTGGCTTGGCCACATAAGCCAGTGCCCACCACCACCCAAGCTACACCTCTGAAACACCCACCCGCATTATATATTTTAATCTGCAAATGCAAGTACACTAAGTAAAGGTTAGATGCTATTTAAACATTAAAAGAGTGCCCTGTGTAGTTTTCATAGGAGGCAAAAAAAAGGAGAACTAATTAAAGGGTCAAACGACCCAGGGCTGTCTAATTCCCAAGGTTTCCTTGTGCATGCAGAAGAAAGCGCAGAGGATGTGTGCACAAAGTGTGGATGTGCGCTGTCTTATTAAGACAGGATTTAATCATCCAGATGTGGCCGCTATCTGCGGCCATCACATGTAAATTGTGGTTTTGGAAGCCCGTTAACTTTGTGCTTGTGCCTGGACTGTGACATCACACTGAGCCTGCATTTGTGTGGAGTCTCAGAGGGGCTCCGAAAGCAGCAAGGCCAGCACAGAACCATCATACGAATTCTCCTCTCTTTAAAAACATGAAGAGCTCACTCCTTTAATGTAGGAGCTGACAGATCAATTATTTACACCCAAGAGCTGCTCTGCTGGCAGGGTCGAAAGTCAATGCAGTCTCCCTGGCCTCCCTCTTAAATCAGCAGCACTGCCACCGTTTCCTCCCTGCAATATTTTACAACGCATCATGATTCCCTCTTGCCTCACTGCTAACGCTGTGAAGTTTGGCAGCTTTAACTTCTGTCTTCCTAAAGGAGGGAGGAGACTCAAGAACTGCACTGCCCTGCAGGTGACATCAGGCTGCAGTCCAGACCTCAAGTTCTGTCAATTGTGCTGGCACTTTTCAGAAGCAGGGTCTTGCCTCCTTCCACGGCTGCCATACGTACAAAAATGAAAAGCCTTGCACTACATGGGCAGAGACGCAGCTGCCTATCAGTGCCAGGCAAGAAACCCCTCAAAACAGCTGCTCCTCCACAAAGATGGCTCTCACTGCCAAGCGAGAGATTTCTAGATCAACAGCTGCATTTTGTGTGTCCTCTCTTCTACACTATTAACTGCCCAAAACCCTTGGGATAGGACAGTGTAGGAGCTTAAACAACGTCTTAGCGTCGGGCAATGAACTCTATCCCTCCATCTGGGCATTTTGGATCAATGCAATAGAATGAAGTTAGAAACGCTTGAATACGTTTCAGCTTCTTTGCATTTATCTAAGGTCAAGTAGCTATGCACGTTGTTAAAAATACACACTTCATTGACAGAATAAGGTTGTACAAACTTGAATCTGATAATAGGTCAGTCGGTAGAGCATGAGACTCTTAATCCCAGGGTCGTGGGTTCGAGCCCCACATTGGGCAAAATATTCATACATTACAAGGGGTTGGATTAGATGACCTTTGGGGGTACTTTCCAACTCTCCAATTCTATTCTTCTAAGCCATATTGGGATGACCCTATCACGACTTTATACAGCAACATATGAACAAGCTTCATTCTTCCACATGGAGCCATTTCCCTGCTCCCCTTGCACAAGTGAGCTGGGAAGTCTCAGTTCAGTACTGTTTCCTGTTATGTTTAAACCCGTAAACTGTGGTCAAAATCTGTATTAGGGCAGCCCTTTTATTACGCCAACCAAAATGTCACAATTTATTTTTTTAATGGATTTGATAACCCGCTTTATCACTACCCGAAGGAGTCTCAAAGCTGCTAACATTCTCCTTTCCCTTCCTCCCCCACAACAAACACTCTGTGAGGTGAGTGAGGCTGAGAGACTTCAGAGAAATGGGACTAACCCAAGGTCACCCAGCAGCTGCATGTGGAGGAGCGGAGAAGTGAACCCGGTTCACCAGATTACAAATCTGCCGCTCTTAACCACTACACCACACTGGCTCCCACATAGTGCACAATGTTTCAATTCCCCAGAACTGAATACATAGTGTACAATGTTTCAGTTCCCCAGACTCATCAGTGTAGATGGGCAATCAAAGCAAGGAGGAAATGGAAGAAAAAAACGTGGCTGGCAGGGAAGCCATTTAGTCGGCGTTTGCCAAGAATTTCAAGATGAAATGTGGGAGACAGTAACATACAAAAGTATGCCATGGAGGTTTTAGGCTGCTGGGGAGGAGAATCTGACAATGGCCAATTCTGCTTCCACGGAAGTGTAAAATCCAGCTGTTCCCTAGGTCTTGGCCAAAACACAGATTTCTCGATAGGGCAAAAACAGGAATAGAGAGAAACTAGGCAGATTAAGACTCCCCAGCTTGTTTGGTTACTAACATAAAGGCAGGATTGAAGCAGCTGCATATGAGTGCACAAGGCCCGTTCTTGTATAGCCTTATTAAGCCAAGATATAACCATCCAAGCCATCAGATTATTAACTCTTAGCAGGCCCCTTGGGTCAAGCTAATCTTAGCAATGAATCTGAAAAAAAATAAAGTGGTAATTCTGTGGCCTAGTGGCCAGTCTAAGTGGCTTATACATGCAAGGCAATGCTGCTGCTCTTACCTGTGTAGACAACCACACATATCAACGAACACAATAGTTCCACGCTCAAGATTCCCAGGATGAAGCAGAGATACATTTTATTGTGATCAGGAAAGGAATGTTGCGCTGACAAAATCAGCAGTAAAGCTATATTACCTATTAAAAGACACAGATGAGACATGTTAAGAACCCAGCCGTCTAGATAGCTTCCAGAAGTGGCTCAAGATAACCCCCAAATACATAAACCAGCATTAACTCTGAACTAATAGTCATACTCAGCTGACTCTCTCGGTCATGAGTGAAAACAGGCACTGAGCACATTCTCAACCACGCACAGCCTCCTTTTGATGGCCAGTGGCTTTACTATAGGATAAGAAAGAGGAACAGACCCTTGTGCTTATTTCAGCTGCACTTTTCAGTTTTCTGTTCAAGCTAAATGCCATGGAAGATGTTTCCAAGTTGTCACTAGCAAATGTATATTCAATTGCATGCAACGAGATGCAGAGTTTGAACTTAAGGTAAAATGTTTTACAGTACGTATGGCTTAGGATTACTAAGAACACATCTGAAGTACCGGTTACGTTTATCCATTGGACTAGATTTCACCAGCCTGATGCCTTCCAGTTGGGAATTGCAGCCGAGAACATATGACTGACAGTAAGATGCTGATGTCTGCATTAGACTGTTCCCTTCCTTTTCCACTTCTCTTAACACACCTATGATCAGAGATCCTTACCCACCTCACCACCCGTGCACCATGTTTGACAGGCCAAGTCCCGCACACATCAGGGGCCCCAGTTTCCTTTGGAATCAAGTTGCATGGACAAAGGAACAGTTAATCAGCTGGTCTGCTGTGTTAGCAAAGCTCCCATGATGATGAGTGTTTGCAAAGGCCTTGCAGGAGCCTCTGATTATGGTGACCGCAAAACTCACTTTCAAGAAAGTTGTGTCTTTACCTACCCCCATCAGGTGTGGGGCACATGCATGTGGCTTGGCTGAAGTGGCCTCACAGGTCAAATGGCGAGGGCTTGGGAAGCCTTGAGAGCCAATGGTTTCCCACTACTACACTGCTGAAGTCACTAAGGATTACTGTTTCGACCTCACATTTTGCCCTCAGGTTTTCACAGGCATGTTCTAAAGTTTTTCAGCCACACAGTGCTTCAAGCACTAATCATTACTGTATACTGCAAGAAAAGCTATTGTCCTTACAACCAACACTATCTAGCCAAAAGCTCCTTCTATAGTGTGATCTTTCATATTAAATCTCCAGAGCTCCACCTAGTGGCCACTTCTAAACACTGCAGCCATACTGTGGCCAACTTGGTAAGTAGGGCAAACTGCACACAAAGAAAGCAGCTCTATTTAAGTATTAAAGCCCACAGTTTTCAGTCAATATGCAGGCACTTGCGTCCCCACTCTGGTTGTTACAAAAACAATGGGTGTATGGAAAATTCATTAATCTGTTAACTGAAGATTTCTTGCATCAGTAAACAGAGAAGGAAAATAACTCAAGAGCCCAACATTTCAATTTGAGCAAAAGTAGGCTTTTGACCAAGGACTGGTTTGTTCATGAATTACTCATTATTCAGTTCCTATCTGAGATTATAGAGGGCATGATAGTGCTCTTCAAATATTTGCTTCTTAGAGGAAGAAAGTGACTAAATTCTGGGGCACCAGACATCTAATGGGTTTAAGTTAAAGGAAGGCAGATTTTGGCTGGAAACTTCTTGACTGCAAGAGAAGTTCAGCAATGCAGCAGATTATTTAAAGGCGTGATGGGGTCTCCCATGCTGGGGGTTTTCAAGTCAAGGCTGAACAGCCATCTGTTAAATGTCAACATGCAATGGGTTTATTACATACTGCAACATACTTCTATTGTACTTCTGCTTCCCGAGCATCAGGTTGAGGCTGTAACTCTGGGAGCGGCTGCCGAGACCACATAACACCAGTCTTGAAAGACCTACATTGGCTCCCAGTACGTTTCCAAGCACAATTCAAAGTGTTAGTGCTGACCTTTAAAGCCCTAAACGGCCTCGGTCCAGTATATCTGAAGGAGCATCTCCACCCCATCGTTCCGCCCGGACACTGAGGTCCAGTGCCGAGGGCCTTCTGGCGATTCCTTCACTGTGAGAAGCCAAGTTACAGGGAACCAGACAGAGGGCCTTCTCGGTAGTGGCACCCACCCTGTGGAACGCCCTCCCACCAGATGTCAAAGAGAACAACAACTACCAGACTTTCAGAAGACATCTGGAGGCAGCCCTGTTTAGGGAAGCTTTTAATGTTTGATGCATTACTGTATTTTAATATTTTGTTGGAAGCTGCCCAGAGTGACTGGGGAGGCCCGGCCAGATGGCCGGGGTATAAGTAATAAATTATTATTATTATTATTATTATTATTATTATTATCTGACAGGGCTCAGATTCCTACCACACTGCCATCTCCTGTGATCAGGGTAGAAGCTAAAGTACCCACTCTTTCCTTGATCCATAGAGCCAGTGCCCCCCTTTGAGCTAACTGCAGTAAGGAATACCCTGACATTATTAGGACAGTATGGCACATTTTGTCACAATGTACTAGTCAATTCCAGATAGCTATTGGAGCAAAACACCTCAAATGGCCATTTTTTTGAAGTTATGGTACCTGCAGTTGAGCTATTAGAGGAGAGATGTGGTATACATTAAGGAACAAAGTGGACTGAATACAAAATGCATTACAAAAATTACTGATAAATCTTGGCTTACCTTGAAGGCTTCATCTTGTCCAAGTCAGACCAAATACTAGAAAGATGCAGCGAAAGCTAGAACTGCACTGTTGTCATGACCATGTGAGATGCTTCATGCACGTAGAAGAATTCACATTTACAAACAAGAGATTGACAAGAGTGAGTCAGTAGATTCAGGCTCACCTGTAGACTGAATTAGGAGTGGAAATCTCTTAAGATGCCTTGTGGCTCTGTAGATCTGGAGGTAGCCTTTCCTTCTGACCTTGCTATGGTAGAAGTGAATATACCGTTCGAGAAACAGATACAGGATCCAGAGAATTACTTTGGCAGTAACTATAACAGTTTGCACTTTAAGTGGGTAAGTGTAATGCTGAGGACACACATCTCCACTTGCATCAGGGTAAGAGCAGAATATGCCTGCCAGAAAAGCCAAAACAACAAAAGCAACCTAAGGAAGAAAAGAGAAAGAAAGAAATTTCAAATGCTCATCATCAAAGTCAAACACATCCAAGCCTGGCAGGTTTGCTCTAACTTTATTTATAACCATTTTCTATTGCTGATATGGCATCATTAACCCATAATATGTTCTTAAGCCTTCCCACTCGGAAGGAAAAATATAAGCCAACCTCCATCCTATTAGAATAATAGAACTGTAGAGGTGCAAGGGACCAGAAGGGTCATCTTGGCGAACCCCCTGCAATGCAGGAATCTTATGCCCGACGTGGGGCTCACACCCACAACCCTGAGATTAAGAGTCTCAAGCTCTGCTGACTGAGCTATCCCAGTACAGTGGTCCCCCGCAAGACGAATGCCTCGCAAGACGGAAAACTCGCTAGACGAAAGGGTTTTCCGTTTTTTGAGCGGCTTCGCAAGACGAATTTCCCTATGGGCTTGCTTCGCAAGACGAAAATGTCTTGCAAGTTTGTTTCCTTTTTCTTAACACCGTTAATACAGTTGCAACTTGACTTCGAGGAGCAACTCATAGAACGCAGTGTACATAGTAGCCTTTTTTGAGGTTTTTAAAGACTTTGGTGATTTTTGAAGCTTTTCCAAAACTTCTTTTGCAGCCATTTGGTACGTTACGCTTTTAAAACTTTTATTGGGGGGGGTGGATTTTGGGTTGGGGTGTTTGGAATTCATGGAGTTGGTGGTGGGGAGGGGTTTGCAAGAATCTGGAAGCTTGTGTGTTTTTTTCTGCATTTTTATGATTTTCTGTGACCATTGGGCCACGCTGCTGTCGTTTTTAAAAAATTTCTGGATTTGATTGTCTGTGTGCGGGGTGGCTGGGGGAACAGTTGGGGCGGGGTTTGCAAGAATCTGGAAGCTTGTGTGTTTTTTTCTGCATTTTTATGATTGTCTGTGACCATTGGGCCACTCTGCTGTTTTTTTTAAAAAAATCTGGATTTGAATTTCTGTGTGGTGGGTGGCTGGGGGAACAGTTGGGGAGGGGTTTGCAAGAATCTGGAAGCTTGTGTTTTTTTCCTGCATTTTTATGATTTTCTGTGACCACTGGGGCACTCTGCTGTTTTTTAAAAAATATTCTGGATTTGAATTTCTGTGTGGTGGGTGGCTGGGGGAACAGCTGGGGAGGGGTTTGCAAGAATCAGGAAGCTTGTGTGTTTTTTTCTGCATTTTTATGATTTTCTGTGACCATTGGGCAACTCTGCTGTTTTTTAAAAAAAATTCTGGGTTTGAATTTTGAAATGCTCTTTACAGTATGTGTGACTTTAAAGAGCACTTAATAAACTCTTGTTGTACCAAATTTGGCTTTGTTTGGACTTTTTTTTGACCATAGGAACGCATTAATTGATTTTCAATGCATTCCTATGGGATTTCGTGCTTCGCAATACGAAAAATTCGCTAGACGAAAAAATTCGCGGAACGAATTAATTTCGTCTTGCGAGGCACCACTGTATTGACACAGTAATGATGGGAAGTGACACATGCACATGCAAATGCCAGTGAGCTCAGCCTTCCCCCAAAGGAATCTCTGGGGCTGGTAAACAGTGGCCAGTAGAAGGCAATGAAGGTGACCCCCAACCTGAGCAGGACAGCACAGAAATGAAGCTGCCCATTCTGTTATCACCAACTCTGAATGCAAGTACTTTAATCCGAGTGAGAGCCACCTGGCCATTACAGCTGCTGGTGGTGTGTGCATTATCCCAGTTCTCCACAGGAACAGTCCCTATCCCCTCTTGCTTTTGCCACCAAGACAGCTTTGACTGTTTCTAGGGGAGGACTTTTGATTGCATAGCCCTCTCCAGCAGGATTTTTTTTTTGGCGGGGGTGGAGGTGGTTCTTAACAAAGCAGTATTATTGTGCTTATGAAGTCCTGGTAAACAGAAACACACAGCTGTTTTGGGGCAGCTCCATTTCACTCTTCTACTGATCAGCATGGTGCCACCAAGTTTGGTACTGGAAGGAAGGCTATAAAAGCTTGATTCTCACTGACCAGGGTCACCAAGGGCAGGGAGCAGGATGGCATCAGCATATGGAACAGGGACATAGACACAATTATTGTTGTCTGCTTGCTTCTCAAGCCAACAAAACTCTAGGGATGAAGGTTGGGCAGTAACTGCTTTCCCCAACTTGCTGCCTGCAAGGTATTTTGAGATTTCATCCATGCCTTAGGTAAAGGTAAAGGGACCCCTGACCATTAGGTCCAGTCGTGGCCGACTCTGGGGTTGCGGCGCTCATCTCGCTTTATTGGCCAAGGGAGCCGGCGTACAGCTTCCGGGTCATGTGGCCAGCATGACTCAGCCGCTTCTGGCGAACCAGAGCATCGCACGGAAATGCCGTTTACCTTCCTGCTGCAGCGGTACCTATTTATCTACTTGCACTTTGATGTGCTTTCGAACTGCTAGGTTGGCAGGAGCAGGGACCGAGCAACAGGAGCTCACCCCGTCGTGGGGATTCGAACCACCAACCTTCTGATTGGCAAGCCCTAGGCTCTGTGGTTTAACCCACAGCGCCACCCACGTCCCCATCCATGCCTTAGTGCTTTCTAATTTCCAGGTGTATCAGTTTGGTTTGTCATCCCACTTGCTCTGCATGCTGCCACCCTCTGGCCTTAAAGAGCAGGGACAGACAGAAAATGCGACCACAACAGAACACTTCTGGAAAGGGCTCACAGGAAACTGACTGGGCCGACCTTTCCACCTTTTAAGTGGCCAAGGAGGAGAGCCATGTCACACTTGTCTGCTGGGGAAAGAGCTACTCTACTGGCTGCACAGGAGATGCCTGAGGAAGAGGCCAGCGCTGCTACTCGCTCGCTCAACTGAAGGCCTGGGGGCAAACTGCACCTCTGCATCATTGAATTTATCCAAATAACTCATCGGCAACTTACATGCATGAGCAGCAAAATATTGGCAATGCCGACTGTAGGTATGGCGTGGAACCTTGGACACATCCTGGAATGCAATGAATGAGGTGGAACAAGCGGCGCATCAAGCAAAGGGTCGTCATCCATGCTCTGCGTTATCTCTGAAACAGATCCCTGAAATAGATTTAGCAACATAACGTTCAAAACAGAAAACCAAGAGAAACTCAGTGGGATTTACTCCCATGTACAGTTTTGTTTTTGAAAGAGTGTGGTGTATTTTTGCAAACCAGTTCTTAAAGAACTGGGGTTGACCAATGTGAAATAGTCCCAATAAACTGAAGGTAAGCAATATTGCCTGAACTGGCAATAAATATTGCCCACACTAGTTTAGCACAAACACCAATGCAGTTTTTCTACGTGAATGTGAACTTGCTTAAACTAATTTATGGTTTTCAATGTGTTCATCTACATTTAAGGTTTTAAATAGGAACTTAAGGAGAACTAGTAAAGCTCAATGAGATAAAAGTGATGCCCATGAGATCATTTATCTAACATAAACCATTTAGGGTTTTTTTTAAGAAATAACATCACACATAATCACAGGATAATTGCCCAACTCATTTTTCCTGTCCTACACAAGCATTTTTGGCGTTGTCCTGCCAGAATGGAAAACTACTTCAGTTTTAGTAAAAAGGAATGAGAAAGGCATGTGATCTAGTTTAGTCCTTGAAAAATTCAACCAAGTTTACTTTAGAAGGCATCACTTGAGCTCTTTTACTGTTCCCAAAGACAGCTCAATCTTATCTAAATTAGCACAGAAGTCATCATTTACCTTAATGGGTAACCAACCCCTTGCAAGTTTGGCACCATGTGTAAAATAGTCTCCTTGCACTTCAAACTTGTTTTAAACATTGAAACTGCTCATATTTGGAAGATAAAAATATTTCCTAATAATTCAGTTTAAATGCCCACTTTCAAATTTCAGAAGCTCCAATATATGATCACTGTGATCCTCAGGTTTTGAAGATATAATGCACTAAAGAAGGCAAAATTCACTATACAATTTTGGAAAGCTAGCCAGCGCTTAATTTAACTCCTGTCTAATCAATGCTGGTACCCCAATATTTATTTGGAGCTAATATTTATTTGGAGCTGTATATGCATTGAATGGACAGCTGCCACATTACACAAGGAACACTACCATGTAGCCTCAGTCCTGTGTGAAGTGTTGCAGAGTGGAGTGCTCCTGTCAGCCAGCCAATGCACAGCACACCCACCAACAGCCAGAAGTGCATAGCCACAGGGCACCCAGTGTTCTCAATGGGCTGTTCTGAGGGTTCTCCCTTAGGGTTCCTGCTTTAGGAAGCCACAGGGCTCTGCCAGCCCAGACAATAACCTTCTTCTTGGGCATGGATACCATGTGGGCTACATAAGCTACAACATTCATACCTTAACATCAGAAACAGAGATCCCAATAGTAACTGTAGAAGGCTCAATAGTCATGTCTGCTTAACAGAACACCAAGCGTGATATTCAACTAAGTCTTATTTTGAGTAGACTCACTTAAATTAATGGATCTAACTTCCATCATTAATTTCAGCGGGTCTACTCTGAGTAAAACTTAGTTGAATATCACCCAAACAAATTTACTTAACACACTTCTAATTTGCTCTTCAACAAATGGAGTAAATAAGTTTCGTATTCTCTGCTTTAAAAAAACAGCCCTCCCTTGGGCTCTAGAGAGATAGGCAGATGCCCCAAAATGTAAGATAGTTTTATATTTCCTAATCAAACTTCATTTTAACATAATACTGCAGTTTTACACCAGGTTCTTTTTAAGGGGACAGAGCAGGGTTCCTCCAACAACCACCAGTTTGAAAATGATTGGTCTTCTTTAAGAGCCTCGGAATCCCACCTTTCGCAAACTCAAGAGGCAGCCATTACAACAAACACAACTCTGCAATGCAAACACATTTTTAGCTTTGCTTTGAACATTTAAACCCAAAATAAAAGATATATTTGTTACATTGCTGAAAATTGCTTCCAGCATTTTTACCATTGGCTGTAAATAAAATTTGCTACAGATAACAGGGTCACTTATATCTAAAAATTAATAATTCCAGTTCAACACAGGACCTTTATGTTAACCCAATTGAATGCCGTCGTCCCCCCCGCCAGCTTTTATCAAGGGCAGATATTTAAACATCCCCAGAAATGATAGACATTGCTTTGAATGTGCTGGACACTGTAGAACATATTCTTTTCTATCGTCCATTGTACAAACAGCTACGCAAATGCGTGCTATCCCCTTTTTGGGGTAATCTAACATCGCAGGACAATGAAAATATCAGATTCTATCTGTCTGACATTAACCTGGAAGTAACTGCAAAGGTGGCTGAGTTTGGTCAATAGTCTCTCAGAGTGGCGAATGGCACTATTTAGTGAGAAGAAATCCCAATGAAAATCCTCATTATATATTTTACATGGCTGTATATTAGTATATATTTCAAAATTTTATGTATGGGTGTTTTATGATGGCCTATACTTGTAATGTCTAATACAGTGGTACCTCGGGTTAAGAACTTAATTTGTTCTGGAGGTCCGTTCTTAACTTGAAACTGTTCTTAACCTGAGGTACCACTTTAGCTAATGGGGCCTCCCACTGCCGCCACGCGATTTCTGTTCCCATCCTGAAGTAAAGTTCTTAACCCGAGGTGCTATTTCTGGGTTAGCGGAGTCTGTAACCTGAAGCATCTGTAACCCGAGCTACCACTGTAAATGTTTGGCAAAGTAAGTATGAATGTCTGTCTACAATATTTTAGAATAGAGAGAAATATTTGCAAACACTTCCTCTTCCAATCCTACTACAAGTATTCTGGTGTCTGTTTCTAATTGTGGCCCAGTAACTGCATGACTGTCATGAGACTTTAAGACTTTTATGCTGACAGGCCTATACAGTTGTCTCTGATATGTCCCCAGATTGCTTTTAAATGTTTATATGTTTATACACCACCCTGATGTTTTGCAAAACAGCAGAATAAAAATACCTTTATTTAAAAAAAACCAAAATAACCACAGATACTTCTCAACTCAGGAGCCGATTCTACTGTTAGGATCAACATCCCTTTACTAGATTTCCCAATAGTTTACCTGTTGCAGAGTCCTTCCCTGACATAACATTCAGAGAACTGACAAGCTTAAACAAAGCTTAAGTACATTCTTCATTGCCAATAGAGCCCTAAATGTCTTAGGACCCAAATTCTTGAAGACATGTGTCTCCCTATACAAAGGGTGGGCAATAAACTTTCTAATTAAAGCCCCCAAAGCAAGAAGTTCACAGAATAGAAGCACAGGACTGAAATAGCCATATTTTGGGGCTGCTGTGCTGGAATTCAATGAGGCCTTCAAGTAACTGGCAGACATTATGAAAAGATGCACTTCCAAATGGACAGTCAACAGACAGGACTCAATGGCTTTCAGGAGTTTTAACATGACTTTTTCCTAACCATCGTTTCTCTCACAATCAAAACAGTTTCCACACAGCTGGAAGCAGGAACTGAGGTTTTCAAGGCAAAAGCAAGCGCGTGATAGAAATCTCTGCGGTGGAGTCTATAAACGTCCACGCCTTCTTTGCCCAGCAGCTGCGGTGTAGCAGCTTCAGTGCTGGTCTAACACCTGGGAGACCAGGGTGCAAATCCCCACTCAGTCACGAAGCTCCCTGGGAGACCTTGGGCCAAACACTGCCTCTCAGTCTAAACCTACCTCGCGGGGTTGTTGTGAGGGGATTAAACTGAGGAGCAGAACCACTAATATACCACCTTCTATCCGCTGGGGAGGGGGCGGCGGTTATAAATGCAATAAAAGCACACTGTGGCGCAGTGGGCCAGTGCATCTGGCTGCGAGGCAGAAGGTCGGCGGTTCGAGCCCACCCAGGGACGGCTGTGAGCAGAATTCCTACACTGCACAGGACTGGGCTGGATAACCCCCGGGGTCTCTCTCCCAACGATGCAATTCGACGACTCTCCCTTCAAGGGAAGAACCGTGTGCCCTCAGAACTCTTGGAAGCTCTCCGTTTTCGGGGATACTGGAGCAGCCACGGGGCTCAAAGAGGCGCGCCGTGAGATTCAGACGCCCTCCCGAGTCACGCGTCCTCCCGACCCGCTCCACCCCGAAGCCGCCTCTCCCCTTCCCATGTGCAGCCCGCGGAGCAGGACCCCTAAGCGGCTGGCGACTCACGTTATCCAGCTGTCGTGGCTGCTGCTGCCGCCCAGCCCCACTCGACACGCCGACCATCTTCTCCGCAGCTGCTTCCGGCCCCGACGCGCTCCACGCCCGTCTCTCGCGCGGCGCTGTCAGGTGTAGCGGACGCCCCGCCCTCCCGCGTCCCGTGCCCTCACGCAGCGCTGCTTCCGCCCAAACCTCCGCCCGCGACGCTATTGGACGGATGTTTCCCTCGCCCCGCGGTCTCTTTTCCCTTCGAAGCTCCGCCTCCCTGTCTGGGTTGCCGGAGAAGCGAAGAGAGGCGTGGCATGAGGGGGGAGGCGTGGCCATGCGCCTGGCCAAAGCGGAGGAGCGCAGAGCGCTGGCGATTTGGCAGCGGCTCTGTAAGGACGCGAGTCCGACCTGCAGATTGGATTTGAGACTTTTATTTTTTTTGCATGCGAAGTGCATGCCACGGGTGGCGCTAAAGAAGCAATGGTTATTTAAATGAGGGTTCCTCCTGATTACTCAGCAGGGAGATGAGAACAGCCGCGTTCACACACCGCACGTTTAAAGCGCTATGGTATCGCATTGAACGCTCACCGCTTCTCGCAAAGCGTTCTGGGAGTTGTAGTTTGTTAAGCGTGGTGAGTCCTGCCAGCCTAGCAGTTCGAAAGCACGTCAAAGTGCAAGCACAGTGGTACCTCGGGTTACATACGCTTCAGGTTACATACGCTTCAGGTTACAGACTCCGCTAACCCAGAAATAGTACCTCAGGTTAAGAACTTTGCTTCAGGATAAGAACAGAAATCGTGCTCTGGCGGCAGCAGGAGGCCCCATTATCTAAAGTGGTGCTTCAGGTTGAGAACAGTTTCAGGTTAAGAACGGACCGCTGGAACGAATTAAGTACTTAACCCGAGGTAGATAAATAGGTACCGCTCCGGCAGGAAAGTAAACGATGCTTCCGTGCACTGCTCTCGTTTCGCCAGAAGCAGCTTAGTCATGCTGGCCACATGACTCGGAAAAACTGCGGACAAACATCAGCTCCCTCAACCAGTAAAGCAAAATGAGCGCCACAACCCCAGAGTCGTTCGTAACTGGACTTAACTGTCAGGGGTCCTTTATAGTTGATTGGGAGCCCAAAGAGGAGGTGGCAAGGCAGGTCAGAAGTTGCAGAACAGCACACAAACTTCAGGTGAGCAGGATAGGTTTCAGTGTATCTGAAGAAGTGTGCATGCACACAAAAACTTATACCCAGAACAAACGTAGTTGGTCTCTAAGGAGCTACTGGACAATTTTTTAATTTATTTCAGGTGAGCAGCTTGCTCTGATAAAAGTTGGGAGTAGACTGAGGCCTTTTAAGCCTCTTAGCAACAGCCTACCTCCTCCACCCTTCAGCCATTCACCAAGGACTTCAGAGTCTTAAAGAGCCAACTCCTGCCCTGAAGACAGGGCAGCAGACAGGGCTTGCAACCCACTCTGGGATTGGGAATGATGAAGGGAGACCTAGAAACGTATTAAATAAAGTAAGATAAATAGTGGTTGACAGGAAGGCTCTTGGCAATGTAGTCAGAACCACTGATAATGCATGCCAACCATTCTCAAGTAGCACTTTACAATTGCTGCTTTACAATTTAATTCTTTATTGGTAAAATTCTGCTGAAACTGAAAAAACAAATTGACCAATTCTATGAAGACTTACAACACCTTATAGAAATGACACCAAAGAAGGATATTCTTCTCATTATAGGGGATTGGAATGCTAAAGTAGGGAGTCAAGAGATAAAAGGAACAACTGGCAAGTTTGGCCTTGGAGTTCAAAACGAAGCAGGGCCAAGGCTAATAGAGTTCTGCCAAGATAACAAGCTGGTCATCACAAACACTCTTTTCCAACAACACAAGAGACGACTCTACACATGGACATCACCAGATGGGCAGCATCGAAATCAGATTGATTATATCCTCTGCAGCCAAAGATGGAGAAGCTCTATACAGTCAGCAAAAACAAGACCTGGAGCTGACTGTGGCTCAGATCATCAGCTTCTTATAGCAAAATTCAAGCTTAAACTGAAGAAAGTAGGAAAACCACTGGGCCGGTAAGATACAATCTAAGTCAAATCCCTTATGAATACACAGTGGAAGTGAGGAACAGGTTTAAGGATTTAGATTTGGTGGACAGAGTGCCTGAAGAACTATGGATGGAGGCTCGTAACATTATACAGGAGGCAGCAACTAAAACCATCCCAACGAAAAGGAAATGCAAGAAAGCAAAGTGGCTGTCCAACAAGGCTTTACAAATAGCGGGGGAGAGAAGGCAAGCAAAGTGCGAGGGAGATAGTGAAAGATACAGGAAATTGAATGCAGATTTCCAAAGAATAGCAAGGAGAGACAAGAAGGCCTTCTTAAACGAGCAATGCAAAGAAATAGAGGAAAACAACAGAATGGGAAAAACCAGAGATCTGTTCAAGAAAATTGGAGATATGAAAGGAACATTTCGTACAAAGATTACCATAATAAAAGACAAAAGTGGAAAGGACCTAACAGAAGCAGAAGACATCAAGAAGAGGTGGCAAGAATACACAGAGGAATTATACCAGAAAAAAATGGATGGCTCGTACACCCCAGGTAGTGTGGTTGCTGACCTTGAGCCAGACATCCTGGAGAGTGAAGTCAAATGGGCCTTAGAAAGCACTGCTAATAACAAGGCCAGTGGAAGTGATGGTATTCCAGCTGAACTATTTAAAATTTTAAACGATGATGCTGTTAAGGTGCTACACTCAATATGCCAGCAAATTTGGGAAACTCAGCAGTGGCCAGAGGATTGGAGAAGATCAGTCTACATCCCAATCCCAAAGAAGGGCAGTGCCAAAGAATGCTCCAACTACCGCACAATTGCACTCATTTCACACGCTAGCAAGGTTATGCTCAAAATTCTACAAGGCAGGCTTAAGCAGTATGTGGACCGAGAACTCCCAGAAGTGCAAGCTGGATTTCGAAGGGGCAGAGGAACCAGACACCAAATTGCAAACATGCACTGGATTATGGAGAAAGCTAGAGAGTTCCAGAAAGACATCTACTTCTGCTTCATTGACTATGCAAAAGCCTTTGACTGTGTCGACCACAGCAAACTATGGCAAGTTCTTAAAGAAATGGGAGTGCCTGATCACCTCATCTGTCTCCTGAGAAATCTCTATGTGGGACAAGAAGCTACAGTTAGAACTGGATATGGAACAACTAATTGGTTCAAAATTGGGAAAGGAGTACGGCAAGGCTGTATATTGTCTCCCTGCTTATTTAACTTATATGCAGAATTCATCATGCGAAAGGCTGGGCTGGATGAATCCCAAGCTGGAATTAAGATTGCCGGAAAAATATCAACAACCTCAGATATGCAGATAACACAACCTTGATGGCAGAAAGTGAGGAGGAATTAAAGAACGTTTTAATGAGGGTGAAAGAGAAGAGCGCAAAATATGGTCTGAAGCTTAACATCAAAAAAATGAAGATCATGGCCACTGGTCCCATCACCTCCTGGCAAATAGAAGGGGAAGAAATGGAGGCAGTGAGAGATTTTACTTTCTTGGGCTCCATGATCACTGCAGATGGTGACAGCAGCCACGAAATTAAAAGACGCCTGCTTCTTGGGAGAAAAGCAATGACAAACCTAGACAGCATCCTAAAAAGTAGAGACATCACCTTACCGACAAAGGTCTGTATAGTTAAAGCCATGGTTTTCCCAGTAGTGATGTATGGAAGTGAGAGCTGGACCATAAAGAAGGCTGATTGCCGAAGAATTTATGCTTTTGAATTATGGTTCTGGAGGAGACTCTTGAGAGTCCCATGGACTGCAAGAAGATCAAACGTATCCATTCTGAAGGAAATCAGCCCTGAGTGCTCACTGGAAGGACAGATCGTGAAGCTGAGGCTCCAGTACTTTGGCCACCTCATGAGAAGAGAAGACTCCCTGGAAAAGACCCTGATGTTGGGAAAGATTGAGGGTACAAGAAGAAGGGGACAACAGAGGACGAGATAGTTGGACAGTGTTCTTGAAGCTACAAACATGAGTCTGACCAAACTGCGGGAGGCAGTGGAAGACAGGAGGGCCTGGCGTGCTCTGGTCCATGGGGTCACGAAGAGTCGGACACGACTAAACGACTAAACAACAACAAAATTCTGCGCAAAAACTGATAAAGTTGAGACTGTTGTTCAAATAAAGAAAGGTGCCTTTCCCCATATAATTCTAATCCTCTGCATAGCATGAAACCCACTTTCTGTCAGTTTCTGAGGAAGACCACTGTGCTGATAACTAGGAACACGCATATTCATGCTGATCTCTAAAATAAATAAGTCTGCATCTTTCCAATTTACTCCAGGTTATATTCGAGAAGTCACTTGACATGCAGTTGAAGTATGTTCAACAGAGTCTGATGGAGCTTGTTTCCTAGTGGGAGAGTTTAGGACTGCAGCCTTAAATCCATTCCCACCCCACCCCCATTGAAACTGACTATTCCGTAATATTTAATTGATTTGAGAAATATATTCACAGATGTCTCATTTTGTTCACTTTAATTTTTAAAAGAAAACAAAAGTGGGGGGTCATGCATATTTTGATAGTTATTTACAGGGAAGAGGATCATGCCAGTGAAAAAGAGATTAAAATGGAATACTTCTTGTCAGAAAGAGCACTAGGATCCACTGACCACGAGATGGCACTATATTGTGCGCACGCACACACAAATTTAATCTATATAGGAACCTACCCTGGACCCTGAGATCAGCCTTTTCTGCAATGGCTCCCCATTTATGGAATGCTTTCCCCAGGGAAGTTTGGTTGGCCACTTCATTATGCACCTTTAGCTGCCAGGCAGAAAAACGGTCCTCTTCAACTGGGCTTTTGGCTGATTAACATCTTACACCCCTTTTAAATGTGTTTGTGGGAGGGGATGGGAAGGGTTATTGGTTTGTTTGGGTTTTTTTATCATGCATTTTGTGTTTTTATATTGCATTTTTATGTTGTGAACCGCCCTCAGATCTACGGATGAAGGGAGGTAGATTTAATTAATTAAATAAATAGTTTGTAAATGCTGTATATAAAATTAATTTAGCCATAAATACAAAATCCGACAGGTTTATGTTTTCCTTT